TTGTCACTTCGCTCCACTGGTGGCCATGGGTAACGATAATACCTACCTCACTGGCCTCACAGGGTTGCGTCAAGACTAAATGAGAGAATGTGTATGGAAAATCTTTGTGAACAATCAGTAAAGGCTGTGGACTTCATTAACATGGCATAGAATTATAAAGATGAAAGGGAACACAGAGTCCCTGTGTAAACAGGGAGGTAGCATTGAAATAAATAAGACAGAGGCCACTGTAGCTTCCATCCATGAGAGCTGCACAGTGTGGACCTTGGAGATACCACCCCAGGGTCTGTGAGAGCCGAAGAGCAGAGAAGGGATTTAAGTGATAACTAGACTTAATGTCCAGAGTGGAAATCTATCTCCACCCTCACCCACACCTGGGTTCCATTGAGAAAAAGCACAAGTAAAGAATCATGTGAGTTCTTGACAACTAACAAGCTCAACAGGAAATATTCATGTTCCCAGTTGCTTTTCAGGCTTTTAACTATAATAGCTAATGTTTACAGGTTACACACCTTGGTATAAGTGCTCTGCCAGGTACTTTACCTACAATACAATAATCCTCACAAAATCCTAGAAAGTAAATGTAATCCCCACTTTACACATGGGAAACTGAGTCTCACAAAGTCTTAGGCCAAATAGAGAATATCAGAACTGCAATTCAAATCTAGTGTGGGAATCCAGCAAAACTCAACCTCAAACCACAAGCCTCAGCCGCCCCAGGATACTTGCAATCCTTAACTAAAGCTTACATTTCCAGTTTCCTCTGTGGGAAAGTCCCTTTTACTGGTCTTCTTCATCTGTGGGACTCCTATTCATTCTTTAAGGTCTAGTGCATAAATGACCTCCTCATCACATTGAGAATAGTTCAGTAAGCAATAATCCAGGAAGCCATACAATATGTTATCGTGATAGCTCCTATGGGAGATTTTTGACTTTTGATTATTTGAGTTTCATGAGGAGGTGTCAGGGTGCCAGGCTGAGTGGTGAGAGGGAGACCATCAACATGTCTGAGGCAGAAGGAGGTAGCTCAGGATCAAGCAGGGAAAGACCTACTCCCTCTGACCCTACAGGCTAAGAGAGAAAGTTCCAACATGGCAGCTAGTGAGCCAGCAAGAAGAGACACTGGAAAAGCAGGAGGGCGAGACTGGCAGCACCAAAGCTGGACTAGAGAAGAGTGACAACAGGAAGGATCAAGAAGAGCTAGTGTTAGCAACAACAAATGTTGGTGAGGATGTGGTGAAAAAGGAACTCTCCTGCACTGCTGGTGGGAATGCAAACTAGTACAACCACTATGGAAAACTGTTTGGAGGTTCCTCAAACTGCTAAACATGGAGCTTCCCTACGACCCAGCAATCCCACTAATAGGTATCTACCCAAAAGACACAAAAATACTGATTGAAAAAGATACCTGTACCCCCATGTTTACTGCTGCTTTATTTACAATTGGAAAAACATGGAAGCAGCCCAAATGCCCAAAAGTAGATGACTGGATAAAAAAGATGTGGTACATATATACAATGGAATATTACTCAGCAACCAAAAAAGAGAAACACATGTCTTTTGCAGTAACTTGGATGGAACTGGAAAAGATCATGCTTAGTGAGATAAGCCAGAAAGAGAAAGAAAAATACCGGATGGTTTCACTCATAGCAGGAGTATAATGGACCAGGTGGAAAATAACAAAAATAATGAACAACCATATACCAGAGACATTTTGTGGGGGTGGAGTGGGGAATGGGATCAAAAACGGGGTGGGGGGAGGGAAATGCACGGGATTATGGTGATGGCACATGGGTGACTTGGTGATGGGAAACCCGCGGGGATTACAATTGAGATGGAAAAAAAATGTACAAAATGATGCAAAAATAAACTTTTGTAATTAAAAAAAAAAAAAAAGAAGAGCTAGTGTTCAGCCTGACATCTAAGAGAGTGACAAGAGATTACTGCAGAACATGCTGTGTATCCTAAGATGAGCCCCTGCTGGGCATTGTGGGTCCTGGGCTGCCTCAGGCACTGAGGTCCTGCTTGAGAAGCCAGGGTGACAAGATGGCCTGAAATGCTACCTCTTAAGAGAACTCCCTCCTGGTTCTCTTCTTTCTGGGGGTTGGCAGCAGAAAATCGCAGGGACACACAACACAGCACTTGACTAAGGTGACCATCTGGGTCAGAGCTGGGGGTGGGAAGTCCCTGAGTCTTCATAGGACTTTGTGGTCCAGTTTGGCCTATTCTTCATGCCCACCTCACTGGTAAGAACTGTGACAGGGTTGTACTTCCTCCTTATTCCTTTTGTTAGCTTGAAATCACTCATGCATTGAAGTGAGAAGCTACATGTGGTTTGGTCTCAGCATCTGACTCCAGTTGCTCTGGAAATTGATTGGTTTTGTCTAGCCCCATTCATGTCTCTTTCTGGTAACAACTCCTCGATTCCCCGTTGAGAAAACCTCCCCTTTCTTTTTTCTGTCTTTTTCTTTTTTCCCTCTTTCACTTTTCAAATTTTCATTGTGGCAAAATACACAGAACACAAGATATACTACTTAACATTTTGTTTAGTGTGTAGTCCAGTAGTGTTATGTACCCTCATATTTTCATGCAACCAGTCCCCTTCTTAAGATATCTGTGCTTTCTTCTTCTTCTTTTTTTTTTTTTTGCTCTGACCTTTACTTCTGACCTTAGTCAGGCTCCTGGGGCCTATGAACAGGGTTGAACACATCAGAGCCCTAACCATAGTAATCGGCTTGTGTTGTACACATCACTGAAGCCAAGTCCATGAGAAAAAAACCATTACAGCTAGACCTATAAGGGAAAGGTTTTCTTTTCCTGCTTCAGAGGCCAAACTGACAGGAATTAAGCTTGGAGTTGCAGAAGGCATTTCTGCCACAACTTTAGGACCTGCCCAATGATGAAGCCCATACAGGAGAAAGCAAAGCTAAGGAATGGAGATACATTCTGGCAATGTATGAGCAGCAGATCTAGTCACACCTGAAGCTTTTCCCCATAGACTTTCCAGTTATTTGAAATGATAAATTAGCATTTTTGGCTGATGCCAAGTTGGACTGAGTTTTATCATTTGCAACTAAAAATCCCCTAAACTCAGTTTTACCATTTGTGAGACTTGGTAAGTTCCAAGCATTAATGTCCTTTTTCTGTCCCCTTGCCTCTCTGAGCTATCACTAATTGCCTAATGTTAGCATTAGAGTCTCCTCCCCCGACCTCATTAAGCATATCACACTCATTCAATGATGAAGTTGAGAAGATTAGTTCTATCAAAGACAGAAATACTTGTCACTGATGTGTCGGCACATCATGGACCCTAGAAACCTGTAAGTGTATTATACAAAGTATGTTTCCTGAAAAACATGGCTTCCAGTCATAGTTGAAAATCCCCTTGACTTACATGAGTGCAATGTGGGCCTGAACCTGGTATGAGGCACACCTAACTGTCCATCCAAGAGTCTAAGTTACACATAGAAGTACATGGCAGCCAGGACATGGTTTAGCTAGTACTGGTGTCACTCTGACAAAGGAATCAAGAAAACCAGAAACAGGCAGGTCCATGCATTCCTAATGCAGACTCCCAGAACAGAGACACCAAGAGCTTGCTCTCTGTTTGGGAGGATTCTACTTTTGGCTTATAGGTTTAAAACTATAAGGGATTAGTTTATATGGTTTATTGTGCTTGTATGCAGGCTGCAGCTCCAGGTGTCAGTAGAAATATACAGGTTTTCATGATGTTCCCACATGGCACACCTTAGACAAAAACACATTCTTCATGCAACAGGTTTTTGGTTTTGTTTTTGTCTTTTTTTTTTTTTTAACCTAAGTCAGGAGCTGAATTGTTTTATATTTTGTTTTTCTCCTCTAGGCCTATGACTCTATAACCCTCCTGGAGGAACCCTCAAACATACATATATAAATCTATGAAGTGTTGGGGGGAGGGAGGATGGGGAGTAAAAAGTCCCAAGACTATAAAACCCAGGAAACTACAGAAATCATTTATGCAGCACAGTCAGTAGAGGAAAGGAACACAGGAAATCTTGGAGATCCACTCTATAAACCGAATGTTTCTAAATCCCAGACTCCCATCATGGAAGAAAAAGTCAATGGAGTCTTCATTCCCGGAGATAGGCTACCAGGGACCAGCCCACCCCGGGGCTCCATTCCTGCCACTCTGCCTCAGCCTCCTGCCTGGCTGGGCACATGTACACTCTCTCTCAGGGGCAAAGTGAGCTGGCAGACCAATCTCAAGACAGGATGAGCCTGGTCAGTGGCTCCTTAATTATGGGAGCTCCCGAGTACAGGGGATCTATGCAGAACCCTCCAGAATCTGGCTCACACAGGAAGGACACAGGCCTACTGAAAAGCAAGGAGCTCCAGACAAGGGGTCAGAGAGACCAGATACTTAACCTCTGTCTGACACTTACTAGCTATGGATCCAAGTAATACAACCCTAGTGGTGCTTCACAGTTTATACCCAAGGCCTTGAACCCCCCTGTCCATGGAAGACTTTCATAAAGAGGTGTTCATGAGCGCCAGTGTCTTCATGTATGAAATGGTGAGTCTCCATCCACTTTATGGGGCGGGAAAACAGACTCAACTCTCACCACGGTGAGTATGCAGTACTCATTCCATCCAGCCCCAGAACAGAATGTTATTGTTCCCATTTTGCAGATCAAGAAACTGAGCCTCAAAAGTCTCCCAGAGCCAAAGAGTCAAACTAGGTCTGCCTCTTAAGTCACACTCTTTCCCTAAATTACATCACCTTTCTCAGTCCTAAGTGCTCCTATAAGGAGCACTTACACCTGGAGCCGCAGCCCCCAAGTCGAGCACAAAAGCAGCTGGGCTTGGAGGCAACAAGCCACAACTTCCCAGTCAGCCCCAAGCTGTGGGCTACCGACGTTCACCTGCTACCACCCACCCGCCGGCCCGGCCGAAGCTCGCCAGCCTGAAGAAGGGCCGCGGCTGCCTGGCCGGCTCCCGCCGTTTAGAAAATAAATACTCACGGCTCCCGCGGGCCCAGGCGGCTCGGCCGGGCGCATCCTCTCCCGAGGCTCCGGCGTTCTCGTCCTCGAGAGCAGCCGAACGCGGTGCTGGGCTGCCTCCTCGCTCTAGGGCATCAGATTATTTTAGCACTTGCGGAAGGAACAGACGGAAACTGAAGTCACATGGAGAGCAAGCGACTCAGCACTCACAGCGAGAGGCATCTTAGAAGGAACTTCGGCCGGGCTGGCTTGGGGGATGGGAGAAGGGGGGACCGCGGCGCTCTGGTCTACCTAACTAGGGCTAATCGTCAAGGGTGCGCAGTATTTTCATGGCCTCCCCATGCTCAGCAAAGCTCCCCCAGGCTTTAGAAATTTTGAGGGCTGGCCAGCTGGCGGCTCTTGCCTGTGAGCTCTGCTAACCAAACCCTCTTTTCCAAGGTTGTGTACAAGGGTCAAGCTGGGGCAGATTCTGGGAATGATTAGGACACACGTTTTCCAGGTGGGAGAGAGTCCATCTTCAGGAAGAGTCATTCATCCATGCAGTCGTCAGTCTTTATCAATAATCTCCTTTTATGTATTCAGTACATCAAGAAGAAAAAAATGAAGATTATTTTCTGGTGAACTGTTAGGATGCCATAAACTTCCTGATCATAGAGCATGTATGATTTTTTGTATCTGATGTGTACAAATTTTCCTACTAGCTTTTGCCAGCAATTCAAAAGAATAATCAAATTAATAATAGGCACCACCAGGTCTATAGTAAGGACTTTACAGGCATTCTCTCTTCATTCGTATTCTCAGGGAACTTACCATGTAGGGGAGAATGCAAAGTATTTAGTGTTTCTGTATGCCAGATGAGTAATCAGACCACCATTACAGGAAGTTAGGGAAAAGATCTTCAGTTCCATACTTGCCCATCAGATCTGGATTCTTGAATGGCCTGGATAACTCCTTCCACAATTCTGTATAGCATTATTATTCTCCTTCACATCCATCCTAAGGGAATGGGAGCAAGTTCTTCCTGCTCCAAACATTCAGCAAATCTCTACTTCCTAAAATATTAATTTGTAGTTGTAGTAAAAATAACACTATTTTTAAAATCTAAAATAAGTGTCAAATTGTTACAAAGCAAGGTATTTCTCTCAGGGCCTTTTCTTCTCCTAGGTGCACATTTTCTCCTCCCAGGCTTTTGTGTCTATTGGTATACTAGTAATGCACAAACTTTAATCTCTAGCGCCAAAATTCTCTCCCAAGAGGGAAGATCCAGACTTAAATTTGTAAATTTACTGTTTACTGGTCAATCAACTTTTATATGTCCCTGGTGACCACAACAAAAAATTTTCCCTAAGGGAACACATTCCTTGCTTTAGTGCATTTCTCTCCCTGTTTTGGTGTCACTCTATAGCATGTCTCTATTAAGCAGTCCAGCCCTCAAACACTCTGCCTTTCCAATCGTTCACTCATTTCTGCAAACTCTACCTTGAATCCAGACCTGCTTTCCATTTCCATTGCCATCACTGTCCTGGATCTAGACCACATGAACTCATGTCTGAACCACTTCAGAAACCTTAAACCGAGCTCCTTCCCCTAATCTTATCAATTCCACCAGATGTCCACTGGCATCTTGCTAAAAAGTATATTGGATCATCTCATTATCTGCTTAAAGCCCTTTCATTGCCTCTACTATCTACATCTTTTGTTTAAAATCTGGCTCAGAGTTTCCTCAGAGATACATAGGGACTGTCCAGATGGGACTCCAAGCAACCCATCCCCTCCTTATCCTGAGAAATTCTACTTTTATATGTCTTATACATTGAGGTTTTGAGAAAGGCAGCTAAAACCCATCCAAAAAAATCTTAGATAACTAATGGTTTTAATAGATGTGGGGAGGCAAGACAGTTTGTTGGCAAATAGTGCCAGCATCTCTCCCTCTAGTGCAGCAGCAAACTGGCTTGAAGTGAAAACCAATGTTGATTGGCAGTTGAAAAGAGAATATTTTTGTGTGTGTGTGCCAAGAGAACTGTAACCTTCACTGCACAGTCAGGATCCTTCAACTTATTTAGGTGCTCAGCATCCTCTCCCAGCACCTGCTTGAGGCAGAGGGGATCAGGTGCTTCCTGTCACACAGTCCACAGTGCACCCAGCCCTATCCTGATCAAGCACATTCCTTCATGGGATGGAGAGAAACTGGAGAAAGGTATGTCTCTTTCTCTGAAACTGGTCCATGTGTTGTGAAGTTCATGCCCACCCCCTGCTCAATCATAATAAGCCAAGTTTAATGTTAAGCAGCACACCAAGCTCTCAAGATCTAAGGTAAAATCAAGGAGTTGGGTAGTCCTCAGCTGAAAAAGAAAATCCAGATGTCTTGTTTAGCCAGATCTTGCCCCCGCCTCTATTCATTTCTCTCCATAATTCATCATATCGTCACAAAGTCATTTCATCCAGACTTACCTGCTCACAACTTGCTTACGAATGCTCCCTACTCTACTCCCTTGGTCAGAGGATTCACTCACTAGGAATGGCCTGCCTTCCACATACCCCAGGCTTCCCCACCTCCACACTCCAAGGAATTTGGGATCCCTGTCCTCTATGAAACCTCCCTACTGAGAGCTCCACCTCTTCCTTTAAACATCCAATGGCCTTGTGACATCACGTGTACAGTGAGTTAACTTTTAAGATTTCAATCCTGTTTTGCCAACTACACTATACATGTCTTGAGGTAAGGGATCATGTATTATTCCAAAAAGTGTATCCAATGCTTTTAAAGGGACTCAGTGAATGTTTGCTCAAAGAAGGAAGGAGAGAAGAGAAAGAAAGAAAGACAATAACATAACTTGTCTAAGACTTTCTGGGTATGGGCCCTCCCTGGTGGCACAACAGGTTGAAGTGTAGCACTATGAAACTAGCCACAGCCGCTTCAGCATGGCCAAGGAGCTGACCCACATGGCGTGGCAGACCTCTCCTGACTCGCCCACTGCTCCCCTCAGCAGTGTACTCGTTAATCTGCCTGTTCTGCTCCCCGCTCTGTCTCTGGTGAATTCTCTCACCCCCACGCCTGCATCTCTGGCTTATACCCCAATTCTGTATGCATAAATAAATAAAATCTTTATAAAAACAAAAGACTTCCTGGGTATTGCCTTCTGAAAGTATTTTCTTTCTTTCTTAAGGTAAGCTTTATAGTACTGTGTCACTGATAGTACTTTAGAGTCTTCCAAAGAGATCAAATGAATTTTGGCTTCTGCTCTTTTATTGCATTACTATTCTAGATAACCAGAAAGGAATGGGGTGGGAAGACTTAAACAGAGGCTGTGAAGAGAGATGCATCTGAGTCAGGGCCAAAGTATGCAAAGGATCCAGTGGGAAAAGTAAGGGCCAGCTTCCCTTGTCCAGATTGGTCTGTGAAAGAAGGTACAATCGATTATTCCAACCACGACTGGTAGGGTCTACCTCTGAAGTTAACAGGTCACTCCAGGCCCAAGATCTTGGCCCTCTCCTCCCACTGTGTTGGTTTCCACTCTCCCCTAGGTGCTTAGCCCATGGCACAGACAGGGCAGCCCTTCTATCCTGACCCTTCACCTTGTCCAGGCGGTGGCCCTGGACAAGCACTGGACTAGTACCTCCCCACTTCTCTTAGCCTCAGCACATGATAGGGAGGGGATTTCCTTTGGGGCCTTAACTGGGAATTGTTCTTTTGCCCCACGTCAGCTGGCTACTGGGGGAGAGTCTTTAGTAGTTTCATTTCCCTCATCTGGAATGTAGTTTTAAGAACCAAAAATCAAAAACGGAAAGAGGAGAAGCCACCACCCACATTGGTACCACTCAACCCTGCATGATGCCAGTTCTGAAAAAGCTGAAGGGTCACTGCCAAGACTGAGGATATGGCGGGTGGGTGAGTGGGGGGGTGAATTGGCTGAAGGTCCTTTCTGACATGTTTACATCGCAAGTCTTACCATCTGGGGAAGGACTGGGTCTCACATCCTGAAGTCAATTCCTCTTGCTCCTTGTTGACCAGGCAGGTAAGGACTTAGGCAGTTCACAAAGTTCTCCTGAGATAACAAACAGTGACCTTCCTCAGATACAAACTCTAGTAAATGACCTCTGTGGGGACACTGCCTCTTCCTCTCAGGAAACACAGTATCAGCATGTGATCACAGATGCTGTGTTGTGCAGATAACAAGATGCCTCCAGAATTATCCCCGCAATGCCAGGGTGTGGCTGGCAGTGGGACAACAAGGGGAAGGGCCTCCCACAACTGACCATGATCTAGTTCAGGGCAGAATGGAGGGAAACCATGGAAAAACAGGAACAAGTTGCCGAAAGTGTCATGGCAGAAGAGAGTACAACTAGTAGAGACTCCGAGGACAGCTTTCCGGAAGAGGTGGCATCTGTACTGTTCCTCATGAGACAGGGCTAGGATGGAGCCAGAAGCTAAAGAAGAGATAAGGAAGATGTTGGGTCAGGATAAGGCCATGTCAAGGAAGAGGAACTGTGGGAGAGACAATGGCATTTCTTTGTGTCTTTGTAGACACAAAGACATGGCTATGTCTGGGACTGCCCGTGGGCACCATTATCCATGAATTATAGCTCTGTCTTTCCCCCAGGCAGTAGGTCCTGGCAGGCAGGCACTATGGTTGGTTCACATATTTGTGTATCCCCAGCAATGCCTAGTCTAGCAGCTCACAGGGCCTAGCACAAGTTTCTTCAACAAATAAAGGTTAAAGTATCATTTACTAGTCTTCCCTGGTGGTGCAGGGGTTAAAATCAGCTCTATCAAGCTATCTCCAGTCACTGCATCAAGAGTTCGATCCCCCATCAGGGAATTAACCCACATGGTGCAGCAGGACTCTCCTGTTTCACCCACTGTTCCCCTCAGCAGTGTATTTCAGTAGATCCAACTGTTTTGCTCCCCACTCTTTCTCTGGTGAACCCTCTCACCCCCCACACTTCTGGCTTACACCCCATGGGAGGGACTTGTATGTACTCTTGTATGACAGCGGGTAGCCCGGACATGGGGTAACAAGAAATAGGCCCTGACACAGGCCCACAATTTCAGCTACTTTCTACCCAGGTGAATAGCATCCCTCAATAACTCTACTAAATAGATGCT